TTCCTATTACAGATCAAAGTATGTAGTTCCTGTGAGCCATGCTAAACCTTCCTGCCACTATAAACACAGAAAGACCACTAAGACAGTACATATACTATATCACAGAAATTCATAAGGAACACAGGCACTCTTGATAATTACAGAATAAGAAAGGTATTTCAGCTGCTGAGGACTGATAAAATCTTGCTGCAGTAAAAATACATTTGACTTTAGCCAGATGTGGAGGTGCTAATTGGCAGCTGTGGATGTCTATGTTGCCAGAGGGAAATGCTTCCTTAAAAATATTTTAAAAATGGTATTCTTATTAATCATTTGAACATGCATGTGTGTTTTAAAGATATAATGCACTTCTTAGAGACTATGGATATGGGCACCCACACATTTCATCTAGTTTCAGAGCTAAATGTGGAAATGTTCAAATGAAACCTAAAATGTCAAGAGCCAAGAATATTTTATGGTTACATAAAGAAAAAAAGGGACTACTAAAAATGCCTGGTGATTGCATTGATTATATTTTTTGCATTACGTAAATGCAAGCAGTTGTACTAACGAACTTCTCACTCAGAGGTCGACTGTGCACATCAGCAACTACTGGGCGACCATATTAAGGCAACCTATATTAAGGTCACGTGATTGGAGGCAACCTGTCTCCAAACAATTGCAGTGTGACTTACACTGCTTGCAGTCACACTCAGACAGACTTGATTAAGGTTTGCAAATAACTGCTGTCTAATTTATATATGGTTTCTAATACATTACAATTAATCTGAGTCAATGTGTACAAGTACAACTTTTCTGAAACGCATCTCTTTGCACTACAAGACTCAACTTAAATGGTTGCCAACTGTTTGTGTTCTGGTTATCTTCCTATACAAAAAAGAGGCTTTGAAGCACCTCATTCATTGTGCAGTCAAATCTCGGTCCAGCAAAAACTACATCACTACTTGCGGAATCTATGAGGTTCTGGCTCGACTCTGAATGTAATTAGGCAATTTTAGCAAATTTATCACATTCAATGACCCATTATCACAAACAGAATGCATGTAATTGCTACCTTGACACCATTCAATTGCAACTCGATAGCAGACTAATTCGTCTTATGGCCGTTTTATCAACGTCTTGACACCAAAGTCACTTTAAAGATAGAAACTGCTACAAGTTGCAGACAAAGTTCCTGTCTGTGAAGCAGCCATTTCAAAGGCAATGAAATCCCAAATTTATTCCACACGTTTGAAATTATTTTGTTCATGTCATGGTCTCTGACCACTGCTTTCCCTAATGTGACTGTGGCATTATTGAGGTGAATATGTTGCTGCTGATGCATCACACTATGTAATTCTTCTTTCAAGCTAAAACTAACTGATGACTGAGAGTCCTGATAAAGCTGATATATTAAGTTAGGCCAACTTTCAGTGAAGAGAAAGCAAAAAAAAAAAAAAAAAAGCTTTACATTTCAATCAAACATTTAGCTGATGTGTTTTTATTCAGTTAAAGAAAACTGATTTTACAGATGTGATGTATTTTTCTCTGTGTGTGAATATTAAGTAAAATCCACTTGAGCACAGAAAAAAAGTAAATGGGTGAATGAGTCATGTTGTGTAAAGCTCTTCAGGTAGTGCATTTACCATCTCTTACATCAAAATAATAATAAATTTGTTTGTCACAAACCTTCGAGCTAGAAAATGAACTGAAAATTCATGTGGGTTTTCTATCATGCAAGTATGCGTACTTTTAGAAGAATGTCATGGTTGGAAGCTGTATGGAACCACTATGGTATCTACATATATTACACCTAAACTTTATAATTGGAGAAAAAGAAATCAAGCAAAGACCACTAACTCTAATGCTTATAACACTAACCCACACACTGGCTTAGACAGTTAGCTGACTAGCTAAGTAGCCGTAAACATAAAAGCTAAGTTTGGTAGCACATATTGGGCTTGCTAGCTTAAAAGAAGTATAAAAGTTGACATTGTGAAATAAAATGTCCTTATCAAAATACCTAAAAGAGAATGTGTCCCTGCAAAACAAAAAGGTTATTTTTAGTACTGTCAGAGTTAATCTTGTTAAAATGACGTTAACGCCATAACCGCATTAACACGGCAAATCTCTGTTAGCGAGTTAGCGTGGATCGCCCCGTGCCTGGGGCTGCACGGCGCTAACGCATTAAGAGCTAAACGAACTAACGCGTTGACGCCATGCAGGTCATGCAAGGGGCGATCTGCACTAACTCGCTAACAGAGATTTGCTGCATTAATGCGGTTATGGCATTAACGTCATTTTAACAAGATTAACTCTGACAGCAATAGTTATTTTATAATATTAAGGTAATCTAAAAGATGATTATTAACAGTTCATAACAACATTGAATCATCTGATTTCATAATGATAACTGACTGTATATTAAATGGCCTTTTTTCATTTTTTCATGTCAAGCTGTATCTCAGTTTTTGATTGGTATTTTGGTTAAAGGGCTGATGTACAGCAAGCTGCTGCTTTTCACATCAGCAATAAGTGCAGTAAATGCAATACTGTTTACATATACCCCTAATTAGTGTGCCACATGAGTGCACTGAATCTTCTTAGAATTACTATTGATGTACATCATAAGATTTGCATTTCTTCTGAAGTGAATCAAGAACATTTGCCTTGTTAACAAAAGTTTTAATCCTCTTTAACATGACTTTTAATCTTGCACACTCTGCACATCTAATAGCTCCTCCTAAAGACTGTACTACTGATGCACATCAGAGTTATGGAAGTCTTTAACATAAGCTTTGCACTTTTTGTTAATGCTGCACGTTAAACGTTTATTGTGCAAGTTCAATTTTCTGTGGATCCGAGAGAGAGCACAAAAAATAAGCGACTTAATGATAAAATCCAACCGCTACTCTTTGCTTGAAATATTATTTTTTAAATAGTTTTAAATCTTGAATCTTCCCTGTTGCCTCTGTTTGTTGATTAATAATAGCATCTCCGCTAATTACATCTTCCAGCTGCAGTGCATGTAGCAACAGGCGGCTCAGAGCTCTTCTCCAACATCTGCTTGTGTGTGCTGGACTGAAGACGAACCTCACGCACTACTTCACCCTGTCTGTACTGGTTGGAGCCCAGTCGCTCCTCAGGCAGCCCTCACATCTGTGATCAGTCATCATCGCCCAAGCCTGAAGACCGGTGGTTGGACAGCTGTGCTCTCAAGCTGTGATTTGAGAAACTCATTTAAAGCTCAACTGTTAGGCTTTCTTAAGGTATCATTTCTTGTCTGAGATAGTTAAGCCCTGTGGCCTCTCAAGCTTACCACACTGCTCTACTTAGACTGCAAAAAGCTTTGGTGCCAGGAGGGCAAATGAGGGGAAACACCAAAAAACTGTTACAGAGCAGTCAGATTATCAGATGCAATGGCTCCCACTTTTTTTTGCTATGATTGTATTCTCTAGTCTATTCTAGTGGAGATAACTGATATCTAAATTCACCAATTGCATTTAATTTCACTGACTACAACACGTGAACCTCTCCTGTTGAACTCAAGCTGTTATGCTCTTTTTCTGTTGACTTCCTTTCACTCTGAAGATTGCTAATTTCTCCTTTTCTGAAAATCATGTTTTCTTTTAACTGCCATTTTTTGGCCAGCATGTCTTAGTCCTTTTTTTAATCACTTGTGCTTTGAAAATAAAATGAACACGAGGTGGTGGAGAGACAGCCAGACTTGCTGCTGTGGAGGTGAGTGGCTGTGAAATGTTCTCAGTATGGCTTGGCTATTGACAGCTCAGAATCAACGCCCCACCCCCCACCCCACCCCCCAAAAAAGGGAAAAAATTGAGATATCACCTAAATTTCTACATGGGTTTGTAAAATCAAGATGTGTGAGTGCAGCAGTGGGGGTGGAAAGCATCCTGCCATGGAGGCGTAATTATGGACAATTTTGGTGTTTAGAAATGTAGCAGTTTGATGGAAACCACTCAAAAATAGTGTTTGAAGGTACATCTGTATGCAACACTTGTATTCTCTGAACTTTTTAGCTCCGGCTGGTGCATTCAAATCCACTGTGGCCAACAGCTATTGTGCCAATGGCATTATGGGGAGAACAGTAGGAGAAAGTAAGTGCATGAACTCCTTTATCAAAACTTTCTGTCACAATTTTCCCCAGCTGTCTAACAACTCTGAGGCTATTTTGTACCATATAAAATGTATGATCTGTCAAAGCTGCTGGATCTGACTGATCGTGTTTACATACACAGAGACATGTGCATCCACACACCGGTCTAATAAGAACCTGACACATGCACACTGCTAGCAAAACTAACAAGCCTAACACCTTAATCAGACTGTCACCCTGAATGTGACTGAGAACATGGTTGTGTCCACACGTACACGGGTCATTCTGTAAACTTGATAAACATTTTATCCTCATGTCAGCAGTGTTTTTTCTGAATATGAGGTATTTTATATAAAATGAGATCTTTTTTTTAAATGAATTCATGGAAAAAACTATTTTAATAAAGATCCCTGCACAGATGGATATTTGTTTTCCATGCAAATGTGTTTTAGGTCTCAAAAAAACTAAAAAGTTGAAAAACTGTGAAAGTTATGTTTTGTTGTGTAAACTAATTAACAGTGGAACGTAAAAAAGTCATTTGGTGCTCATTAAAATGTATTCACATTTAGGATTCGGAAGATGTATTCACTTCATAAATCATTACACTGCACACAATGTACCGGTAGCTGTACTTTCAGTACTTGGTATTATCAATACTGATCTTGTATTTACTTTGTTTCAGATCAATACTATATCTTGCAGTATTGTGTACTAATAAATAAGTTAAATATGAGTAATTTATCTGTGGTGTGCCTTATTTGTTTTATTATTTTTAATGTATTTAACTTCATTTTAGGTAACACAAACTAACAAATAAATAACCCAAATCCATCCCCAGCAAACAGTTTTATTTAAACTCAATCATCAGTACCAGCACTTCAGACTCTAAATGGTTCATACATACCAGGATCTGACTTGGAGAATGTGTCCACATCCAGTAGACTCCTGTGGAAACAATAAAAAAGATGTATTCATTCATTAACATTCGCTCCATCCTATTTTTATCTCTTTTGTTCTTAACTCTCCTGCATGTTTACAAAGGTTTTCATCTAAACCCTGAAAGTTAGGTCATGGGCAAATTTAAACTGCTCCCCAAGTTATTCTGTGAAAACAAACATCACGAGAAGCCTTTCTGAGTAACGCTAAGCCAAAATGAAAGAAAAAATTAAAAAACAAAGCACTGAATGATTAGTGAAGGACTGATCAGCAAGATAAATAGGTAGCTGGTGACTCAGTTACTCTGGCACATTTTGTGAAATATCTTTCAGAACCAAAGATTAATTTCCCAAAACATGAGCAGAGAAACACTACATGACTGTAGCTCGCCAAAGGTTTTTACATTAATGTGTCAAAAAGTTTTAATGTCAATTAATGAGTCCTACAAAAATGAAAAACTCAAGCCCTTTGGTACTGTGTGAAACAGGCTGGTGATTTCCAGTCATTTCCACAATGACTTCTAAATTTTCCTGTCTTGTCATACATACATATTTCTCTGCCAGTGATGACTTGATGTGTCAGACTGTTAGTTTTCTGAAGGTACCTGCTATTATGCATCACAGTGAATACGCTTGAGATGATGATTTCAAGAGCACAAGGTTTTGCAGTTACTTTGTGGAATAAGAGCACTTACATTTGCATCTAATGTGAGGAAAAATAACTGTATTTTTCTTCAATCTTCACACAAGTACTAGTACATACAGAAACGGAATATTTCTACTGTGTGCAGTTGTACTCTAAAAGAACAGACTAATACTGGGAGTCTGTCGTGGTAATCCTTCTGCTTTCTTTAGCGACAGGTTGTCATTAGCATCACACCTGAAAGATGTATATAAAAATAACAGTTGTGCAACTTGTAGGCAGTAATGACAAGTTACCAAACAGAATGAAGAAGGTACTTCCTGTTGTCCACATATTACAAAATCAAGTGAAAGACTTCACATATTTATTTGGACAACTGTCACCTGAGAAATGAACCAAAGTAACAGACAAATCATATATTATCACATAATCTATGGGCTTTACACTTTTTATAGTCCAAAACATTATGTAACATGATTCTGCCTTTACATTGTATGTCCACAGAATTTATGATTTGGTTGCATTTCAACATCCACAAACAGCGTGATTGTATATCATGTAAAACCACTCTGAGCCATGAAGTGTAAAGCCAAAAAAAAGGAAAGCACACACCTTTGCTCACATATCAGGAAATAATGCAAATCATGTGGTCCTTAGCAAGTCTTGAAACTAGGCAAATAACCACAAAACATGACATTTTACACCATGTTATTATTTAATAACAGAAATTAAGCCAAAATGTAGAAACAGTGAGTGAAATAGTGCATTCGTATTTCTTCTATGAGGGTAAAACACTCCATAGATTAGCTGTAAAAGTCTTTATAATCATTTCTAACAAAAGTTCATGTCATGACATTCATACGTTTGTAAAGTACTGATTTAATTACTCCACTGGTTAATTCACAAGTAAACTAATATTCAGAGAAGCCTTATGTGTGATGTAATCCCAAAGATTTCCCTTGGTTTGTGTACATGGATCTTTCTACTGTATCATTTCAACCCTACTTTTGTTAGGTTTAGTCAACAAAACTACTTGGTTAGGGCCATGATTTGGCTTCAGATTTCACATGCTTTAAAGCCCCAAGGGTTGTCTCGTGTCAGTCTGAAAAAAAGAAAAAGTATTTCTCACTGAAATGTATCAGTATATCAAGCTGTTGCTCAAAAAAAAATCCAGAAACAGTGTGCAGGATAACTCTATCTTTGGGAGAAGAGGGATCATAAAAATGAAATGCAATAGTGCAATTTTGCCCATCTAAAGAAAATCAGTTGCCCGTCTCTACATGCTTACCAGAACCTCCAACATCAATAAAGAGAGTTATATAGAGGTCTGTTCAGTCTGGTTAATACCCTGATGTATTACTTCATGTTTTGTCCTGCACACAGTGCCCAGAAACTCACATTATGCTGGTTTTTAAACTTTTAAACAGAGCTAGACATACTGTTTCCTCCTGCTTCCAGTCTTTATATTAAGTGGTCAGCTGTTCCATTTGTCATTGTATCAAACAGAAATTCAGTAATTCAAGGCATAGATAAGGTCATGCATTCAGTGTGCAAACCCAAGGTAAAAAACAAACAAACAATCAAACAAAAAAACACAAAGAACTTTATCATTTATCTCTTCATCTGAGCTCACCTTTAGCTCACACTGCTGTCAGGTGTCTAGCCACTTCAAGTCTGTCTGATCTTAGAAGGGACAGCACAGGAGCAACAGCTATTCATTATTCAGGAGTGAATTGGAAAGACCGTCAGCAGACCCAGGTAGGCAGGGTGACTGACAGTCTGGAAAAGCCCTGGGTGAGCTTCTCCGCTTGGTCTGTTAGTCACTCAGTCAACTGTTCAGCTAAGGCATCTGTAAAACTGTAAATCCAGCTGTAGAAGTTCTCTTGCAGGGTTACAAATTAAACAGGACAAATTAAACGGCTGTTATCAGTGTATTTATTTGCAGCATTTTAACACTCTGTAACTGCACGTGCTATTGCACTGTGCCTAACACACAGCTCACCATCAAGGCATGTCTATGAATATCAGTGGCACGCTAGGGCACTGGCCAGACTTGATGCCATATGAAAATATTTTCCACGATTTTTAAACCGCTTTAATACATATGGAGGCAACCATGAGAGCAAAGGGCATCTGAAAGCATAAGGTCATCGATCGATAGATAGATAGATAGATAGATAGATAGATAGATAGATAGATAGATAGATAGATAGATAGATAGATAGATAGAAAACATCAGTGTTACATGAAAGAACAAAACATTCCTCACGCACATCTGATGAACTAATTTTTCAGCATATTTTACCCACAGTGGGTGAAATAACAGACTCTAGATCAGGGTTTAAACTGAAAAGCATCTACAGTACGTGTACGGGAGTTTGCCCTTACCTGCAGGACACGGTAACTTCTATTTTAGTTGCGGGGACTCTGGTGTTGAGCGGATCGAATTCCCCTATTGATGCCATCATCTCGACTCACGAAGCTTATGAGCATCCGCAAAGAAATAAGGAAAAGAGGGTGAGAGGGGAAAAAATCTATTTAATCACTACTGGATCGTGATTGCGGTAAATCCATTGTAGAGATATTCCTCTCTAGGGGTTTCGTTCCTGGAACAGCGAGCGGCGGGGGAGGGGGGAGAAACTGTCAGGTAGAGAGAGAGAGAGAGGGGGGGAAAGTTGTGAGGCAAATTTAAAGTTCATTCATCCTTCGTGCGTTCACCGTGCGCTCCCGGTATCTGTCCGGTGCTGAGGAAGAGAGGAGGGAGGAGAGCGCAGCCAACCGGAGGCACCGGCAACAGCAAGGTGCTTTCTCCACCTCTCTATCTCCCTCTCTCTCTTTTCATCGTCCTCTTCCTTTGTGAAATATTTTCTGGAGCTTACGTGCTTTTAAAATAAATTAAAGTGAGTAAAATTCCCCTCAGATCTTTTCTTCTCGTCCTTTGCCTGTTTGTCACCAGCGGGCAGAATATTTCCACGTGTGACAAAATGTAACGCCTTTTCTGTTCTGTGGCGCCAGAGACGCACCCAAATTATCCGTTTAAGTTGTGTAAGACGACATGTAACAATGGACGAGGACTTGGACCACTGAGGAAAGCATGTGTGTCTGTGTGTGTGGTGAATCTTTTTTTTTCTTTTATAAAAAAAAAAAAAAAGATTCAAGAGATTGAAGTCTGAATTTATACCTCAAAATTCATTTATAAAAATCCAAGATGCCTCTATTTTTCTTTTTCTGTGTGTATGTTTGTTTTTGCTTTTAACCAGTGGCCCTAATCCTCTTCCACACAAGTGTATGGTTTGAATTAAATGATATGCAACAAGAGGGTGATGCAAGCTCCGTTTTTGTCTTTCTTGGGTCAGCTGTAAACTAAAAATAGAAAGCATAAATGCTTTTTTTAGGGCTATTCATGTAGGTAAGAATAACAACTGCATGGTGATTAAATATGTGAATTAATGTATCATGAATTCCTGTTATATAAATGATCAACTCATGATTTATGAGATTAGTTAAAAGGTCATGTATTAGTCATCTTGAATATTGCTGCGTGACCCTGTGTTCCTCTCCTCACCTTTCCAATCTGGGGGATGTAACAGGAGAATATTAGGTTGTTGTAGTGTAGTGAGAGAATGGACAGGCATGTTTTGGTTGGCAGAAGCAGTGTATCTACTGAGTGCAGGTACAGTAAGTGTCTATCTTTTTTTTACCATCATTATCAGATATTATTTAAAGTCTATGTTGTTCACATAAATACGATATGTGATAACATTCAAAGTCACAAAAAAGTGACTCCACACAGTGAATAGTGACTCCAACACCTTATCGGGCTGTTCTTTGGTACTTTTTTGACCATTTCCTTTTGTCTGCAGTGACACATACAGACACAAATACAGTTTTCCATTTGCTGAGGACATCACTGTGCAGTAGTGGGTTAATATTTCTTTGGAAAAGGTATAGTTTGTGTTTTTATAGCATTTTACTAGTCTTCCCGATGACTCAAAGCATCCAGTAGTAGTTTCCATTTACAGGTATTTCTTTGTCTTTGAACAGTGGAAGGAAGTGACAGCACCCGAAGCAATGTACAGGGCATTGTGGTCCTGGGTTTTTGACTCAGAGTTCAAGTTCAAGTTCGCCATATTATGCAATGTAGTCTATTCAGTTTCATCTATATAGTGCCAAATCCACAATAAGGTGCTTTATAATGGAATGGTAAGGACCCTATTATAATACAGAGAAAACCCCATTAATCAGACAACACCCTATGAGCAAGCACTTGGGACAGTGGGAAGAAAAAACTCAGCTTTAACAGGAAGAAAGCTCCAGCACAACCAGGTTCAGGGACAGGCAGCCATTTGTCATGATCAGTTGGGAATAAAGCGTGGGAGACAGGACAAAACAGGACACTGTGGACAAGAGCTAGAGATTAATAATCACTAACGATTAAATGCAAAGTGGTGTGCAAACACACAGTGAGTGGAAAAAAAGCGAGTGAAGAAGCATTAATGGGAAGTCCCCAGCAGCCTGGGCCTACTGAAGCAGAACTAAGAGAGAATTCAGGGTCACCTGATCCAACCCTAACTATAAGCTTTATCAAAAAGAAAAGTTTTAACCTAATTTTAAGAGAGAGTGTCTGTCTCCTGAATCCAAACTGGGAGCTGGTTCAACAGAGGAGGGGCCTGGAGGCTGAAGGCTCTGCCTCCCGTTCTACTTTCAAATATCCTAGGAACCACAACAAGCCTGCAGTCTGTGAGTGAAGTGCTCTAATGGATTTATACGAGGTATACATGAGGTCTTTAAGATAAGATGGGGCCTGATTATTCAAGAGTTTGTGCGTGAAAATGTAGAATTAATTCTGGATTTAACAGGGAGGCAATGAAGAGAAGCCAAGCGAGAGAAATATGGTCGCTCTTTCTAGCCCCTGTCAATACTCTTACTGCAGCATTTTGGATCAACTACAGGCTGTTAATAATTTAGACACAATGTATCTAATTTTAGAAATATAGCACAAATCCAAGAACGTAGCCTGACATATTAGTTTAATAAGCACAAATCCTGTTTAGAAATGACCCCAAGATTCCTCACAGTGTTACCTGAGGCCAAGGAAATGCCATCCAGAGTAATTATCTGGTTAAACACCAATTATCTTATCACAAATTATCTAATTCTATATGAATCGTAGTTTGTTCATAGCCATGGTGTTTGAGCTGTGTTTTCCAGTTTAATTTTTTTTTCTGTTTGTCTTTGCCTTGTTTATATTCTGAGGTTCAGTTAGTTTTATTTACTTTTCAGTTTAGTCATTGTCAGTTTTTGTCAGTCACTGTTCTTCATTTCCTGTTTTATTTTGGTAGTTAGGTGTTTCCTGTGTTCCTCCACTCTTCTGCCGATTGTGTGAAGCTGTGTCATTCCTTCCACCTGTGTTTGATTCCCATTATCCGTCAGTGAGTGTGCATATTAGCCCACTCAGTCCTTTGTCAGTGCATTTGTTTGTCCTCCTGAACTGCTTCCAGTCTGCTTTTACTGTTTACTGTCTGTTTGTAGTGTTTCTTGTCATTTTTGGTTTTAGTTTTTCCTTACAGAGTCTTTTGTGACAGTTCTGTTATGTCTTCCTTGAATTTTATTCCCCTTTTCAACTTGTTTTCAGTTGGACTGTTACAGCTGCTATTCATTTAAGGTATGCTGTAAGTGTCATTTCACCTGCCTATATTATAGTCTGCATTTGGGGTTCTCATCCAGAATTCATGACACAGGGAGAACATACAAACTCTTATAGCTAATATAGTCTTACCATCAGGAACTGATACCCCTTACCCTTTAGCAGAAAATCCTTCTTGGAAGCATTTTGTATAACTGTGCCAGAGTCTGCCATTGGGTTTGCCTAAATGTTTGACCTAAATTTGTTCCATATAAAATTTCCTCTGCTGAAAAATATTAATTCAGAAGGTTTAAAATCTGGGCTTTTTTTTTCACCAGAGCACGCCATAATCCTCCATTTCTTCTTTCTAGGCCATTCCTTAGTGGATTTGCAAGCTAACTTATTTTGTTACCCTACTGAAAAGTCCTATCCTAGTTCAAAATGAAATTTTAGAAAGATGGCCTTACATTACCTTCTAAGCGCATGATGTGGAATCCATAGTTAAATCAGTGACTTTAGGCTTCTCAGTTCCCGAAGGAGCAAAGTAACCCCAAACTGAAATATTTCCACCAACAAGAGCTGCAGTGAATGTGAGATTTTTTTCTTCTACTTTTTAATACGGATCCCATGCTATTCAGATTCATGAAATCACTCTCCTTTGACACCAGCTGTTGCAAGAGTTGCCTGCAGATGATGTAATGAAATTTGGGGTTTATTGGAGACTTCTTTCACATCAAACAGTCTGCTCCTGGGCTGACTGTTATGTATGATGTATTTCAAATAATTTAGAGATCTCTTTTTTAAATTCCTTGCCAGACTCTTTGGAATCATATACATAAGAAATTTCTCTAAAGCCTGTAAATGGTTCTTAACATCTTGGCTTAATTACTCCACACACTTTAATAGCAAAAAGAACATGAGAGTTTCGATCAGGGGTCCCCAATCCCAGTCCATGAGGGCCAGTGTCCCTGCAGGTTTTAGATCTCACACTGGGTCAACACACCTGAATCACATGATTAGTTCATTACCAGGCCTCTGGAGAACTTCAAGACATGTTGAGGAGGTCATTTAGCCATTTAAATCAGCTGTGATGGATCAAGGAAACATCTAAAACCTGCAGGGACACTGGCCCTCGTGGACTGGGATTGGGGACCCCTGGTTTAAATGGTAAAGGTTTAAATTAGACCCTGCTGCTCTCAAAGAAAGTTACCAGGAAAGTTGGTTGAAAGATTGATGTTATTTTCCAAGTGTGATGCCAAAAAGTCTACTGTAGATGGGCCAATCTTAATGATGATTTCTGTTATAGACAGTGTTGTTGTTAATGTATGTTTGGGGGCGTTGCACCCCGGAACCTTCAGA